TGGTGTACCAGTCGCTAGGACTGATTGTTTCCATTAATTTTGGTTTTCTTCTTTCTTCTTGACGAGGAGAGACCCGTTGTTGCATCTAGATGCGGCAGCTTCCTAGCTTTTAAGGTCCCAGTCACTACTCGCCAAAGTAGTAGGTGGTTTTGGTAGTTTCTTGATGTGAAAGGAGAAGAAATTAGCATGCTCCTTCCTTCTCCTTCCCTTCCCTTCATTTATTATGGGTAACTAAAAAAAAAAACAAAAACAAACTTCCTACCAGGAAGTAGATTCTGACTCATAGCGACCCCCTTTGGGTTTCCGAGGCAGTAAATCCTTCCAGAAGTAGATTGCCCGGTCTTCTTTCCTGGTCTTCCTTCTGTGGAGTGGCTGGTGGGTTTGAACTGCCAGCCAGCCTTCTGGTTAGCAGTCAAATTCTTTAGGCACTGCACCACCAGAGCTCCTTTTATTAAATGATAACATTCAGCCACATCAAGAAATAAAGAGAAATGAGCAATTTAGGGATGGCAAAATCATGAAGAATAATTAGTGGTGAACATTAAACCCACTTAAACTGGGATTAAGGTTAATCCATAATGAATGGATACTATATTATAATTTTTACTTCAAAATTTGTAACATTTCTTTTCTTTTCTGTAATTATAGTTTTCGCAGGTGTTGAACCTTAATTCTAGTTTAAATGGGTTTAATGTTCACCACTAATTATTCTCCATGATTTTGCCATCTTTAAATTGTTAGTTTCTCTTTTTGATTAACTGAATTTTATCATTCAGTAATTTATATATATATATATATTATATATTATATGCTTGAGAATATTTGGTTGTGGGCTTTGTATCTGAAGGACTGCTTTGTTGATGTAAAATTCTTGACTCACCTTCTGTTTCCCTAGTGACTGCAAACTGCTCTGCTCTGCTTTGGCCTTGTGGCCAGTGTGTCATTTGAAATCACGTGTGTCGTTTATTCCCCCTGCTGTGCTGGCTTCCTTTTTCTGCTTGAATGCTTGTTAGATTGCGTTACATTTTTCTTTTACCAGGATGTGTCTTGAAGCTGCTTGTCCTGTCTGTTTTTCCTAAGTAGGGAAAAATTGCCAGTCTTTGGAGTGAAGTCTATTTTTGTCAGGGAAATTTATTATATCTTGGCTTGTTGTTGTTGTTGTGTGCCGTTGAGTCGGACCAGACTCATAGCGACCCCTCCTTGGGTTTCTGAGGCAGTATCACCACGGAAGTAGATTGCCCAACATTCCTTCTGAGGAGTGGCTGGCGGGTTTGAACCACCAGCCTTCTTGTTAGCAGTCAAGTGCCTTAGGCACTATGCTACTGGAGCTCCTGTATCTTGGCATTCTTCTTTATTTCACTAGTTTGTTTTTTTCTAAGAGCACTAGTGAAGTGCACTTTAGAACTTTTTGGCTTTTTTCAGTATTAATCCTTATCTCTGGGATTTCTTCTTTTCCCGTCTGTTTTGTGGAATTTCTTCAAATGTAGTCACCATTTTCCTGATCGTTTCTAGTAAAATTTACTCTATTTTGGTTCCTTTACATCTCCACCTGAGCCTCATAATCACTTCTTTGAACATTTTTTCCTTTCTGTCTCTTTTTAAATAGAGAATATTTAGAATGGGGAAAGATATTATAATACATTACAAATTTTAAAAGCTGGTAATACCATAAACTTTAAAAAAAAAAAAAAAAAAAAACCCCAGAAAATAACATAGTATTTTTGTTAATTACCTGCTTGACATCTTTGTAAATCATCTTATTTCCCTACAGTTTGTGGCTTGTTATCTCTTATCACCTCTGTGCAGGACAGTGATTTTCTGTTACTTTTGTATAGAAAGAATAGAGCAGGATTTAGTCTTTGCTCTAGTGTGGTTCATTTGAAGTTGTTCTTTATCACTGACATTCTGGAAAAGTTTCTTTCAGCTTTGTTACTTGCTATCGTTACATTGGGAGCTCTGGTGGCCTAGCGCCTAAGGCATTTGATGCTAACGCTTTTGGGATTGTTCTCAAGTTTTGGAAAAACTGCAGTCCTACAGTCTAAGCTGTAAGAATTGGAATTCTTCCATAGATTAGCTTCTGGCCTGAGAGTTGAAATCTTGTATCTCAATTCTTTGAATCTGTATCTCTTCCTTGAGCTGGTTTTTAGCTTCAGTTTGTGATTTCTTTGAAGCTGAGTTTTTCTGGCCAAATTCTACCTTTATTTCTTTGGATAATGCTTTTGAGGTTTCTGTTTTATGTTAAAAATTTTTTGTCATGGTAGAAACACACAGAATAAAACATTTGCACATTCAACAGTTTTTCCATATGTAATTTAATGATGTTTTTATGTTCATTATGTTGTGTAACCATCACCACTATCCATTTCCAAATTATTGCACCATCATTAACAGAAACTCAGTACTCCCTAAGCAGTGACTCTTTCCCTCTCTCCTGCCCCTGGTAACCACTAATAAGGTTTGCTGTCTTTTGAAACCACTTTTTTGCCCATGTGCCTTTCTTCCTTTCTTGGCCAGCTTTCACGGCACTGGTTTTGTATTAGTACTTTGTGATGATTGCTCGTCTGTGTACAGGGCCACTAAGCTACTGCAGAATTGTGAGGGCAGCAGGGACTGTGCTGGTGTAGATAGTGCTGGGCCTCTCACCAAATCTCTTGACCTCCTTTGCTGGGGGGAGACGGCCTCTTACCAGCCCTCTTGACCTCCTTTGCTAGGTGGGAGAGGAAGGTGAAGATCATGGTGTGCTCCTTAGAGATGAGAGGTCTTTTTTCCTTCTTTTTGTCTATTTTATTGTGTTTTAATTTAATTTTTTTTGTGCTCTAGGTGAAAGTTGACAGAGCAAATTAGTTTCCCATTTGATAGTTTGTACGTAAAGTGTTCCATGGCATTCCCCACAATATGTCTCCCCATTTCCGCTCTGGGTCCCCATTTCCTTTTGTCTACATTTTCTATCCCTTTCTGCCTTCTCATCTTTGCTTCTGGGCAAATGTCCTTTTGACATCGTATAATTGATTGTTCTAAGGAACACGTTCCTCTTGGGTGTTACTGTTTATTCTGTGGGCCTGTCTATGGTTTGGCTGAAAGGTGGTCTCTGGGAATGGCTTCAGTTCCAGGTCAGAAGGATGTCTTAAGGCAATAGTTTTAGGGATTCCTTCAGTCTCTGTCAGACCAGTAAGTCTGGTCTTTTTTTGGAATTCGATTTTTCGTTCTACATTTTTTCCGCACGCTGTCTGCGACCCTCTATTATGATCCCTGTTAGAACAATATGCAGTGGTAGCTGGGCACCATCTAGTTCTGGACTTCGGGTTGTATAGGCTGTGGGGCATGTGGTCCATTGATCTTTGGACTAATTGTTCTCTTGACTCTTTGGTTTTCTTCATTCTCCTTTGCTCTGGATAGGAAGAGACCAATAGTTGTATCTTAGATGGCCTCTCTGAGAGGTCCTTCTGACTTAGGATAAAACGTTTTGATCTCTCTGATTTGAGATTTGATCAGCGCTCCCTCCCTCCCTCCTATCCTACCTTTGTTCACTTCCCATAGTCATTCTTGCTTTGGAGTTTGGAGTTATAAACAATAGAAATGGCCTGAGTACCTGCCTTCTTCAGCTTCTTTCTCCGATGATTCTTTGCTGTCAAGGTGGGTTTCCATTGAGACATTTCCTATGTTTCCCAGGTCTGAAACATTGCCACTTCTTGTCTTTCTAATACAAGATTTATTGGCTCTGCCTTTTAGGGTGGTGGCGCTTACATTGAGGAAGTCAGTAGCCTGTTCCTATCGGGCAGACTGTGTCTCTTTTCTTCATTCA